TCCAGTATTAGAGAGTAGCCTATTATAAAATATTGTGCAATGCTGGGAAAATGTATCATTTCAGTCAAGCTATGTCGTCAGTATAATGGCTTGAAGGTGACCCTTCCCTACAAAGGTTTAATTTAAATTCGGCACACGTTTCAGAAAAGATATTACTGACATCCCAGGAACCATCTGTTAAGCGATCCACTAACGTTCGAGTTGGACACGACAAAGCTTGGGCCATAAGAGACCCCTCTCAAGGATCAGCAAATACCCAAGAAGCAGCTAGTATGGTGGTTTATAGAATGCCTGAGCTGGTGGGTGGTATGAGGTCAAAGAACACGATATGCGTCGGTGAAGGTGGCTATCATGCAGCACAAGCCTCCATACCACTACGACAATCAACGTATTCAGGCTACCTCGTTCTTTACATAAAACAAACGTTAAGTCTTTGTGTCTGATGACTGTAATTTTCGGTAGCCGAGAGGGCTTAACTGGAGTTCTTCAGTTCTGGTACAGTTCGAAAAACGAATTTTGAATTCACTTCAGCCGTAGAAAAAAGTTAACCTAGATAGGTAAGGTAACAATGATCTAACTAAAATCTGGATCATATGCCCCTGTAGAGGAGCACCAGTAGCACTAGCGCCTAACCATCAATCAATTCTATCGTAAGGAGTCAGTTAGTGGAAATGAGAATTACGTGCCTTCAGTTAGATCTGAAGACCACAGTCCTAACCGAAACATAGCTATCTCCTGACGTCACGGAAGTCAGCGTGCAAGACATAACAGACTCCCGATAAGATGGGGTACATAATGTAGGAGGTGGAATGGCAGCATATATAAAATACACATCAAAGGTGTAACACCACGCGGTATCAAATTAGCTCAGGTGGCGGAAACTTGTTGGTTTAGCCTCAATGTGAAAGATATAAAGTAATCGATTGAGTGAATATACCGAACGCAAGCAAGTTCTAGAACCGAAAAAGATGAGATAAAACAGGAGATACTGAAGTTGCTACACCTAGTACTTGGTGTGGGCTCATCGTGGATGATCACAGGGAAATAATGTGGGAAATCATTCAAAATGTTGTTTGACGCAGTGTACTGAAGTGTAAATACGTTTTTGAAAAGCGATGATCGCTGTTAAGAGATGTACTGAACGTTTGCTACAAGTTAAACGGAGAGACTGATACACGTGGAAAGTCTTCCTAAAGGTTTCTGCCCGTAACTCTTAATTATCCTTGAGAAACAGATTCAAAACCAAAATCCGAAGCAATAGAAGTTTCAGTCCAAGCTATCAGCAACAATTCAAGCCGACCTCAAATACTCTACACCCATGACCAGGAAAAAGCATACAAATCAAGAAACTTGCAGTCTCAAGAAGTCTAATGGCGTATATCTCACTGACTTTAAAATGGCGGAGAACTCTGGTCACAACTTCGTAGATCATCTTAACCAAGGGCGCGCAAGCACGAAATACCTGTTACCTATAGTGCCAGTTGAAGGTCTTGGAGGTATCCCTGCTCTCAGAAGTCACCAGGATGTGATAATATCCGACCTATAATACTAAAACCATGTTCATAAGCCGCCAGCATACCGTTGTGTGGTCTCTCCATACACTCACTAAATTCAAACCTATCCTGTCGAAATGTCGTGCCACGAACATCCCGTTTCATTTGATACAAAGCACTTACATTGTCCATGGATATCTGCCCCCAAATATCTCTTTAGTGCGTGATCTCGAGCTGGCGATCAAAGAGAGCCTAGATTAGTTCTAACTACATGGGAGACGTAGCCAAGGCGAACGAATCTTATGAGAAGACCAACTGGCACAAACTCAGAAGAGTTGTTTCTAACACTGTTTAAAGAGTACTCACCGCCATAAATTGAAGTCCACAATGTTGTTGCGCCTCCTTTCGACAAAAGACACATCAATTTCTCAGATTAAGCACAGACATGGGCAACTAAATGAGTGACAAAGTTAGAACATAAATGCTATGAGGGCAACCTCCGGCACTCGGGGCTATTCTCGCTGAGCTTCAGGAGAATAAATGGTGATCTGATGATGGCATACAACGTCTAGCTCAAACATGTAGCTGAAACCATCCCAAGCGAGCATATTATCAGATCATTACAGTGCCTCATGATACTAAGTGGCAAGCTTTAAGAGAAGAATTGATAAAGAAGTACTAGCTAGTGAATTATCATCCCCTTCTTGAAGAAGCTGTATTTGATTCGTGTTTCGCAATTGCGGGGATTACCATTACCACATACCACCTTTTATATCTTTCATAAAATGGTTTGCATTTCTCAAGGTAGTGTTGTACCCTTACACAACAAGAGTATCAATTTAGGTCCGAAAAATCTGTCCTGAGCTTAACATTCGGTAGGTTGCATTCCTTTTAGAGTTTTACATGAGTTCATTGCTATATGTGGTTTCACCTCAACTTACTATTCCGTCTTCATAGTTTTCCACCTTTATGATAGTTTAGTATATCCTAACGCTTTTTCATCAGCCATTTTTTTCGATTTTGAGTGTTTTGTTTTCGCTTCGCAGTCGTAAACGCTTGCTACGATCAATCTAACAACTCACATTTCACCATGGTCATGAAGAACTCATAGCTTACTTCAGAATCAAATAATCGACATCTTAAAGTCAGAGTAGGCTTCACATTTTCTCAGACTGCAGAATAACCTAGTGGGTTCCCCCAGGGTTCAGTACTAGAGTCGTGTCCAATAGTGATGTCGGCGGATATAAGTAGTATGTATTATCAATCAAAAGTGAAGAACGTGGCGGCAAATGGTAAGAAGGTCGGAGGAAAGAAAACGAGAACAGTGAATGATTGTTTTGGAAACGAAAGAACAATGAAATGTGAGACAACTGATTGACATTTTGCAAATGAAGAAGTTACTGTATGGTTCTCAAATCTTATTGCGATTTTCTGTAATTTTGTATTCAAATACACCCAATTGTCCCCACCTGTGTCCTTGTTCACTAAACTAGGACCTCATCTTTTCTCGATTAATATAAGCGATCTTCCAGAGCACGTATCGTGAGATTTATTACATTTCGCTAATGGTGTGAAACTCTGGAGAGACGTTTACAATCAAGATGATAAGCTGGCACGTCGAGAGGATCTGACTCGACTTCAAAGTTGGGTGGACAACGACGGGCTCACCTTCATCACTTCAAAGTGTAAAGTAGCCCGCGTGATCCATGTCGCAGACAATGAATGCAACTTAGGTAACTCCCCTCTAGAGTTATCCGAAGTACTAATGGACGTTACAATATGACAATACACGTTAGTAGTAATCGGAGGACTAATAGAATAATCGGTTAACATAAATAGACATCTATCGATAAAGTTCAAGTAAAGATGAAGACCAATATCAGGCTGGGTTTCTTTAGTCGGGTTTTCCAAAATAGAATTATGTTCTTCTTCGCTATAAGCACTGCTCTAATAATAGACCTAATCCTAAAATTGTAGATTTGTCATGATGTGACTACCCAATCTATAAGATCTTACGTGGAAGTCGCATCATTGTCTATGCCGACTCATCGTATCGTAACAATCACCAATATATGCTAGAGAACACATTTAGACTGGAGATAGAACAGTACATTTAATATGAACAGAAGTGATAAGACAACAAATAAGAATGGCCACGCCTGCACGGCTGAGCCATTCCATCCGATGAATTGAATTAGTTGAATTCTTTCTTCCCGCCCTCTCCATCGTTAGGTTTTTCTCCGCGTCAAATGTTGAATAACTATTTTCCCAGTTATCTGATGTTCAACTTTGAAGATTGTGTGGTGAGGGCCCCATGCCACTACATGTTCTCCCTCACTCCAAAGGTCTAGGAATACGTTGGAATGTATCCAACGGTGAGCCAGTTAATAGATTTTCGGATTCCAACTGAAGCCTCACGAAGAGCGCCTGCAGTCAGTGAATCTTTACTCGATGGAGTAAAGGCGTCTTAGAGCTGATCTTCTAATGATTAGCGGCATCCTAAACACTCCTGGGCATCGTCTTATCACTTCACCATTTCCACAATGAGACCAAACACGCTACTACTCAGTATTATGATGGTTTCTGGTATCCTAAAACCTTACTTTCGTAAGACCAACTCCCATGAACGTCAAGATATACAAACCTGCAAATTACTACTGCACTGTCTACAAATAATGCAACCGAGTGGCTAGACGTCTATAGATTGGAAATGACCAAATACTTTGAATCGTACCGAAACAACAAACGAACTCGAAGAAATCAACTGGTCTATACACTATCATGGCAAATATATTGGATATTGGACGAGGTTCGGTGCTGCAACAAGAGCACAGATAATACCTCAAAGATAGACGATAAAAATTGATGCCATAAATAACGATCATTAGTGCACATGGCTCACACCAGCACCCTTGAGTTTGGAAAGTAACTACTTCAAAGTCGGGGCGCATATATTAAAATTGCTAGCAGACTCACAGGATGTCGCTGTCTTCTCCCCAACATCATACTAGTTAATTAGTTTGGTTACTTTGAACTATGAGTATTACTTGGGATTCCAATAAATAAATTGTCCAACAATAGAGAACAAGCTGTATAGGATGAAAATGTAGTCAGGAATTACATTTTAACAGGTTTTTACAAATGCACGTACAGATAATTCTAGGATATTTTGAAATAATCTTCACCATGTAGTCTGACGAAATCCTACTAAGTTCTGGGAGAGATTTGTTGGCTGAACTCATTGAGTTGAGGTTACAACTAACTGTAAAATAAGGATTAAGTAAAGTGGTCGAAATACCTTGTTTGTCAATGCAGATGAAAGTAAACCACGGACTTCTAGTGTATAAGAGTCAGTTTTAAGCTTCTTAGTTGGTATGGCTTCAGAAAATTTCAACGCTAGAGTAAAGCTGTTTGTTGATTATAATGAATGGATTCACTGCACTCACTTAATGTCCTGTTCTAATTTGATGTCATGCTATAGAACTAAGAGGAACGTATTGTCATTACATGGTAAATATTATTTCAAAATATCCTAGAATTATCTGTACGTGTATTTGTAAAAACCTGTTAAAATGTAATTCCTGACTACATTTTCATCCTATACAGCTTGTTCTCTATTGTTGGACAATTTATTTATTGGAATTCCAAGTTATGCTCATAGTTCAAAGTAACCAAACTTATTAACTAGTATGATGTTGGGGGGAAAACAACAAGACAGTGAATTTATCGAATTCTGCAACTCATATCGTTCTTGTTTTATTTGAATTTATGAGATGAGCCATCTAAATAAAATAATAAAGTCAATAATTTTATTGCGAAGTCGTTCGTTGATTTGATCATGAGTTTTTACATTCGAGAAACTTATTGACTCACTTAAATAGCAGTGAATTGTTGGGACTATGGTTTTGTCAGACGATTAATTTAAAGGCACCCAGGATTTGTGTTCGGGTTCGGGATGGGATTTAAATATTCTAATTAACTCGACATTGTATTGTCTCAAATTGAGGATTTGGAGTAGGAGGATTTAGAAGTAACTGGAGTTAGTAATAAGTACTCGGAATGTTGTGTTTATGAAACACTTGTCCACACCTATTATGTTTCGTAAGATTTGACTCGATGAGTAGTAGTAGGGCGCTCATATCAAGCTCTAATAACCTTATTAAAAAAAGCTGGTCCTAAGGGGATCCTTAGTATTGGATTTTCGGTGTGTAACCTAACTATTTCAAGTTTCAATTATATCCGAATTTATTTCTTCACTGAAGTGGTGTATATTTACTCTCAGGAATTCAACTCCGGTTGCCTGATTTAACACGGCAGGTGCTCGGTCACTTTTATCACTCGTAAATAGGGAAGACGAACCTAACCGAGCATTGTTTATGGATGTTAGGTGTATAGTTATAAATAAGGTAATTGTTCCGGTTAATGGAGTAGGACTGCGGTAATTGGTAAACTGTTTATATGTTTTCCCGTCTCGTCATTTCATGGTAACTGTAGTGCATACGAGATAATAAAAGCATCACGAAAGTCGAGTAAAAACGTACAATTAGTCCGTTCGTTCAAGTTGTATTGAGGGAGGGGATGCTAAGTGCTTAGTGTGATTCTGGGTCTAGAACTAAAAACACTTACAAGATCAATTAGTTTCCATAAGGCTGTCATTCGGTGATTAGGTTCAATATTAAAGTCGGCAGTTTCCGTAAACGATTTGTGTTTGTAAGGTTTCACTGATTGGGTAGTATTAATTTTCCTTACACATCGTCTGAAAGTCAATGTTATATGTAACTATCAATCTGTTTTTGTTACAATAATTGCCACTCTTGTTTTTGTATCATTTGATCAATTTCTTATTATTTGCTTTAGTCCATTCACCTCCCCCCTCTTCCATCTCTTCGTGAAATCATCCACGTTTATGGTATTCGAGCTCAGAAACAGTTATCTCAAAACTTTCTTTTACAACCGTCATCTATAAATGGACTAGTCAAATGTGCAGGGAACCTTCGTGGTGCATATGTTCTTGAAGTTGGTCCAGGTCCTGGCGGGATTACTCGGGCGATTCTCCGGAAAGCTCCACGTCATGTTGCTGTCGTGGAACTAGATAGAAGATTTATTCCTGGTCTTCAGGAATTACGGCTTGCTGCACTTGAAATGGGGACTCAAATGGATATATACAGACAGGTATCTTTATTGCTCGGTATATGCAAGTGATTGTTTTTATTATAGTTTTTAGTTATTATGCTTCCAAACTTTCGTCACTTATTCTTACTTCATCCCTCATGTTTAACTGTAGATACCTGACTAATACCTCTTTCACTGACGTATATGTACCATTTAAATCCATAGATGTTTTCACCAAATAATGCATTGAATAAAACGAAACGAGAATCTAGTGAAGACGCAATATTAAGAAGTAAGAGAATTGGTTGACATAGAAATCAAGTTAATGAAAATTTTCAAGTACATCTTAATGTCTACATTAGGGAAAAAACCATTGAGTTTGCCTTTGAGTTTTTGTTAGTGAATCACGTTTGTTAATGTCTTAAGACACCAAAAATGCATAATCCTTGTGACCATTAGTAAAATCATGAGGGACCTAAATATGCTAATTCAATACAACTCCTCTACCCTGGGTAATATAAACCAAAATTTGTTACCGTGGTGCAGCCATACCCTTGTCTTCCTTCCAACCCACTTATAACCCAGTCACTCTTGATCGCAGCTCCTATCTTGACGTGGTGGTCGGGTTTGCCTGTCGTAATGACTCAGAAGAGCTATGTTGGCTGGAACACATGTTCCTTTGGGTCCTTCCATGCTAGACAGATCGGTTAGAGAACGGTAAGAATAAAAGCAGCAACTTAAGGTCCGAGGACGATGTAGTAATGCTGATTGTAGAAGAGTATGTTGACAGTAAGGTGTTTCTATTGGACAACCAGCATCTAAAACTGTGCTGTCTTCTCACAACGGAAGGAAGGGGCTAAAAAAATCTTCCTTAAAATTGTCTCACCTCACCTTTTATTTATTTATTTATTTATTTAAACACATATATATTGGTACAAAAGGGCACCAGGTACATATGCGCCACACAAAATAATGAAAGTAGGAAGAGAAAGGATGAAAAGATAAGGCGGACTAAAATGTACAACCAGAAGACTCTTTCAAATAGGAAAGTAAGAACCATACTTTATGTAGAAAGTAAAAGAAGGTTGCAGCAGGATCGCCACTGGTTTCTATTCTGAGCCATATCTGATAACGTCTCTAGCCACTGTGTTGCACCATCTCTCGGACCCCAACCAAGGAGTCGTGAAGGACCAACAGAAGCTAGCCCTTTGCAGCTCTCTTTCATGCCACGACACCATGTCATACACTGACCTCCAGAAGGAAGCCAGCTTGAACGGCGTACGTGGTTTCAGAAAGACTGCCTCAGTATTCATTATCGGTGGAAGCATTCACTTTCAACCAGACAGTGACTGGAGATCGTTTAGATAGGACAGATTTTCCACCAAGAGCGAGCTGTTGCATAAGTTGAAGAGTAAGGTTACACAAATTGAGGATAAAAGGGGGTGAATTAGCGATATGGTAAGTAATAATAATAATAATAATAATAATAATAATAATAATAATAATAATGTAAATTGTCTTGCTTATAATATGAGCAGGAATAGAATCGTCAATAGAGTTCGTCATTTCATTCATTTGTGTGTGGGCTGTGATACTGCCCGGGTGCCCAAACCGAAGCAGGTGGTTTTCTTAGGGGGCCACACCCGGAGCCTTTGACCTAAAGGTCTGATCCACAAGGCAGTGGAGCATCGTGAGGAGATGCAGTCCCATGGTAGCCGTTGACCAATGACAGGTTCTTCCGCCATTCGTTCCATCAGGAAACTGGAGCCCATGTGCACCATTGGTTTGGAATCAGGGTTTTCCAACTCCCCTAGGTGGACCCTCCGTGTCCACCAATCCGGTTATAGCGCCGGACATTCGCTTTTCGTCCTCTCACTTTCGTAAACAACAGTAATGTCACGAGAAGGCAGTGAGTAGGACTTCCCTGGCAGAGGCTATATATTCGCTGGCCATATGAGAGCATTTCGAGAGGGAGAGTAGACTCTCCCCACTCTCGGCCGTACCAGGGCATTTGGGGACCACCTCACCTTACCCCACGAATTTCCGTTTCTGGCGTTAAGGCCTTTTAAAGTGTAGAGCTTACGCACCAAAGACTTTATTATAAACGCTGTGCGCAACTGGGCTCAAGCAGTTGTCCCTTGGATTCTGCGGTCACGCCTCAGGGTCGCTAAGACCACCACAGATCCAGCTTCTTTCTCAGGTTCCTCAATAAAAGATATCTGTCCACGGTGTGGGCATTTAGTAAGTGACAACCACCCTCATACCTCTATCAGCACGCGACATCATCTTTCTGGTGATCAAATCCCCCCTTCATCTCTTAATAATTCTTCCATCCCTTTGAATAACCAGTCTCCGCATATATAGCTGGTTTCCCCTTGTACCAATATTTGTGTTCAAATAAATAAATAAATAAAACAGGTATCCATCTCTTATACCTTTATCGCGTCGCTCTATCAATGCTGATTTGGGTTCATGAAATGTTATCTCTGGTCTCCTGAGATCATGCTCCGAACTACATGTTGGACCCTTCAATGTTCGAACATTGTGTCATATAGGAAAATAGTATCCTTTAGCCAGGACTTTATAATCTGACGCTATCGATATGAGCTGCATCTTCTGAACGCGCATACAGGATCCGAGTAGTCATTCACTTGACTTGACCTTGTCAATATAAAAAACTGGCACGATTTACTCTTCGATTGTCTGGAGACCCCACTGATACTTCCGGTGGCCTCTCTGGTTTAGGTAAACCATTAAATTTTGAAGCAGAATATGGTCTGTTAGACTGAATTGCAATAGACTGGCTTGTAAGCTGTTTGACCAAACAGAACATTAAAAACTCCAATACATAGGGACACATGCCGTTGTCTTTTCATTGTCTCTGTCTACGCTCCCACTGATTGCGACTCGGACGAAGTTGGAGATGAATCTCATAGGAAGTTATCCAACCTCCTAAAAGCTGAACGCTCTGATGTAATAATTGAAGGAGATTTTAATGCTCATGTAGGTAAACTAAACCAAATCTAAATGGACCCACGATCCCCAGTCGTCCTGAATGGAAAATTGAGGTAAGTCCTCCAACTCTCTACGAGGTTGAAAAAGCTATAGGAAATCTAAAGCGAGGGAGAGCCGCAGGCCCTGATAAGTTTACCCCTGAGATTTTTAAGGATGGTGGTCCAGTACTAGCAATGAGATTGACTGAGGTCTTAGGTAGAATCTGGGAACTGGACGTAATTCCATCTGACTGGTCCCAATCACTGATTGTGCCAGTCTATAAGAAAGGACAAAAGTCCTCCTGTGACAATCACAGAGGAATCAGTTTGACTAATATAGTGTCTAAAATATTAGCTTCAATAATGCTAGGACGCCTAACCAAAGCTCGTGAAGAGCAGACTAGAGAAAACCAGGCTGGTTTTCGACCTGGACGTGGTTGCATAGACCAGATATTCACTCTACGTCAGGTCCTAGAACATAGACATACATTCAGACGTCCCACAATAGTAGTATTTCTTGACCTTAAGGCAGCATTTGACTCCGTTGATCGTGAGGTTCTATGGCAGTATTTGTCAGTGAAAGGAGTACCAAAGAAGTACATTAACCTCATAAAGGCTCTCTACTCGAACACAACTGGTCAAGTTAGAGCCAATGGCGAACTGTCATCAGAATTGGTTACCTCAAGTGGTGTTCGTCAAGGCTGTCCACTCTCCCCATTCTTGTTTAACTTTGTCGTTGACATGCTTTTAGAGGTATCACTTTCATCATCTCAATCTCCTGGAGTTGAACTTTTACCAGGAGGCTCACTTGTTGACTTAGAATACGCCGACGACATAGTTTTATTCGGTGAAGACTCTGACAAAATGCAGAGTCTTCTGACCACTATAAGCAACTATGCAGGCATGTTCGGAATGCGATTCTCTCCATCGAAGTGCAAAATGTTACTTCAGGATTGGGTTGCATCGACACCTGAACTAATGATAGGGAGTGAAGTACTTGAGCGTGTTGACAGCTTCACTTATCTTGGGAGTCTCATCAACCCTTGTGGTCTGGTGTGTGACGAAATCTCAGAACGGATACAGAAGGCTCGTCTAGCTTTCGCCAACTTGCGTCATTTATGGCGTAGGCGAGATATCCGTCTAGCAACCAAAGGACGTGTTTACTGTGCAGCAGTTCGTTCCGTCCCACTTTATGGCAGTGAAACATTGCCGATAAGAGTAGAGGATATTCGTAGACTACTAGTGTTCGATCATAGGTGTCTTCGAAGCATTGCTCGTATATCCTGGGACCACCGGGTAAGTAATGCAGTCGTTAGGAAACGAGTACTAGGTAAGGATGGCAAATCGATTGATGAAGTAGTGAAACTTCACCAGTTGAGATGGCTGGGACATGTGTTACGTATGCCCGACCACCGACTGCCCCGACGTGCAATGCTTCATGGTGTAGGAGTAGGTTGGAAGAAAGCTAGGGGTGGCCAGACCAAAACATGGCATAAATCCATGAAGTCGCTGACAAGTGGACTGGGCCATATTGGTAGGTGTAGACTACCTGGTTGGGATTCGCGAAATGATAGCAACCGATGATTAGAGACCTTGAATGACATGGCTCAAAATCGTTTGCAATGGCGAAGGTGCATCCACTCTTTGTGTTCTACCAGATTCTAATCTTCTGAATTCCTCATGTCTCTACCTTTTTCTCTTTCCAAATTTATTTAATTGTATTATACTCCTTCAATAACATCTTCAAACCCTAATCTTTCCGATAACTGCTTATACTCTTACTACTTCTACCATTATGAGATTTGAATCGACAACTTCATCTCTGTGCTAATGTGGTATGGCAACTCGAACTGATGTACGTACGTACGAAATTCTACGTTGTAACTGACTGACTGACTGGACCTAGGCGGACCTTACAGTGTTGCGGCTCAGAGAACAGATAATGGCGACCGTCTGCTGCAACTAAGCCCAAATAATCTTCTATTTCTAGCAAACACTAACTTTGGACATAAAGAAAAACATCATCTGATATGGCGACCCCCCCAAAATCGACTCGTCGATGCACTC